GAATATTGTGTGTGTGTGTGTGTGTGTGTGTGTATATATATGAATCCTGGTTCTGGGACCACATGGATAATTCTAGGATTCTCTCTGTAAGGAGGCTATTTTCCTTGGACAGAAATGTCATAAAGATATTAGAGAATATATAAATATCTTTCCATTATAAGTAGATCCATAGAAAACATATTTTCCCCCAATTCAGGAAAACTATGAAGTTTCAGGTACCCCTCTTCAGCCAGTATCACCAGTTGATTGGCTTGGAATCAGTTGAGTAATAAAGTTGAGTAATAATTAAGTACCCCAGTCTTGGTGTATTTTTAGTCTGTCTGTCTCTCTCTCTCTCTCTCTCTCTCTCTCCTTGCTGTCAAAGCCAACACAACTTAGTCTTTTTTTCCAGAGAGGAAAATTGATTATAGAACCACCTATAGTGACCTTGACCTAGGAAAAACAACTCTCAAATAGTCACTGAGCACCCACTTTGAGATGGGTACTTTTTTCTTTTTTTATAATTTTTCAATATTTATTCATTTATTTGAAAGGCATAGTTACAGAAAGAGGGAGAGACAGAGAGCAACAGATCTTCCATTTGCTGATTCACTCCCCAAATGGCTGCTGTGGCCAGGGCTGGGCCAGGATAAAGCCAGGAGCCTGGAACTATATCCAGGTAAGGGACACCTGGATGGTAGGGGCCCAAGCACTGGGGCCATCTTTCACTGCTTTCCCATGTACATTAGTGGGGACCTGAATCAAGATGTAGTACAACCAGGGCTCAACCAGTGCCGATATGGGATCCAGCTCCTCAGGTATAGCTTAACTAGCTGTACCACAACACTGGCTCTGAGATGGGCATTATACCGATGATGGAAGTGCACTGATGTCTCATGGGAGAGACAGAGACATGAAAAAATAATCCAATAGATGATATCCTCATAAAAAGTAATTATAGTATCTCTTGGGTTAAAAATTTTTATATATTTATTTCCCTGCAGCATATAAATATGAATAAATAGAACTTACACAGAGAAATTTTTAATAAAGGATGTGCAGGGAAAGTTAAGAGCCGCATTGTTGACCTTCTATTGCTACAAATGTTGTGGGCTCTATCAGTTTAGTTGCCATGTACTGGGCTTGTACCATTGCATTGTTGGAAATCAGTGCAGTCTGGCTGGCTTGCAGGAAGGAGGCTGATAAACTAACATTACACCAGGAATCTCAGGTGTCATGATTATTGGCATAACAGCTAGAATTTGAACAAGGAATTCAGCAACTATGAAATCATAGGAAACTATGATTTGAAAATATATTATATATTTAGGGCTACAGGCATTTGGTAATATAATATAATATCACTGGGAAGTTAAAAAATAGAAATGATAGTACTTTAAGTACAGTGCAGGCTTGTGTGCGTTTCTAGCCGCTTCCCTCAGCTTCTGTGTGATTGATTCAGGATCATTTAGAGTCTGTGAGCCTGTTTCCTCTTCTGGGGGATTTTGTAAAGATTAACTGGAATAGCATGCACACACTAGGGTATCTGCAAAGTATCAAATACTGGCTTAATATTAGTTTGTTACCTCTTCCATTCTCCTTCCTTTCTACCAAAATTATTATCACCACAGCCAGCTTCAGTGGTCAGCCTTACTGCTTGCTCTGGAGCCCTTTTTAACAATGGACCCTGCTATTAAAAGCTCTTTCTGGTCACTGCCCCTTCTGTTGTTTTTCACAACGAGCTGTCTCTGTGTCTCCTTCCCACAAATGCAATTCTAGCCTTTGTGAGCTCAGCTTTCCCGACCAAACTTCCATAAAGACCAATGCTCTCTGGGTTCCTTCTTTACCTCCCTTACTTGACACTAGTCTACTGGGGATTTCTAAATCCATCCTTCCTGCCCTGTTTTCTGAATCCCAGTTCCATATTTCCAAAAACCAGCTTGTTCTTTTCCTCTGAATGTCCCAGGTACTTCAGTATTTTATGAAATGAAATGTTTTCGTTTTTGTCTCTGTTAGTATGTGGCCATCTCTTTTTTTCTACTCACTTTAATCTTCCCTTTTAATCAGGTATAAAGTCCTGTCAGTTTGGCCTGCAGACTCTTCTTCCTCTGTGTACTTCACCTCCATCCTATTTTTGATGACTGCATTCATCTGTTAATTGGTATACCTGCCTCCATTCTCTTTCCCCTTCCAGTCCTTCTGTCACAGTCACAATTTTACATCAGTATTTTCTCTCCTGCTATCTTAAATGGAAAACAATGTTTCTATCTTAAATAGAAACAAAGGAGTAAAGCTATTGTCATTTCAATTCCAATCCTATCTTCCAAAATTAACTGAAAAAAGAAAATTTTAGGAGCTGGTGCTGTGGTGTAGTAGGGTAAGCCACACCTGCAATGCTGCCATTCCCTATAGGCACTGATTCGATTCCCGGCTGCTCCACTTCTGATCCAGCTCCCTGCTAATGCACCTGGGGAAAGCAGCAGAGAATGGCCTAATTCTCTGGGCCCCTGCACCCACATGGGAGACCTCGAAGAATCTCCTAGCTCCTGATTTTGACCTGGCCCAGCCCTAGCTATTGCAACAATTTGGGGAGTGAACTAGTGCATGGAAGATATCTGCCTCTCTTCTCTCTCTCTCTCACTCTGCCCCCACCTTTGAAACTCACCTTTCAAATACATAAATCTATAAAAATAGAATTTTATTTCTAAAGAACCAAGACAATGTCTATAATTGCTAAACATAGTAAAATCTGTGTTTCCTTGGGGGAACACACTGGTAGTAAATCCATATTTTCATAGAGGTTTCCAAAAGAAGGCAGTGTATCACTGAAGAGCCAATTCTGCCCCAAAGAGCAGTCAACTAGGACAGCATCTGTATCCCTACCACATACTGCAGTGTTATGGGAAGTAGAACCAAAAAGACTCCCTCAAACATGTTGTCTTTCTCAAGATGAGAAGGTATAGCAGAGCTGATAGATTGCAATTAGATCAGAGTCAACAAATAGACACAAGCACACACGCAAAAATACTGGAAACTTCTGAGTGTCACTGTGGCTCAGATAGAGTGCCTTGTTCATTCATCAAAGTGTTCTCCAAAAAAGAAATGCAGGTACATAAAGATAAAACCTGGCCATGTATCAAAAATTAGAAAAAAGGGGCCAGTTTTTGGTACAGGGGTAAAAATGCTTCCTGGATACCTGCATTCCACATTAGAGTACCTGGGTTGGAGTCCACACCCTGCTCCTAAATCCGATTCCTGCTAAATGCACGCTATCAGAGACAGCTGGTGATGGCTGGAGTACTTGACTCCCTGCCACTCACATGGACACCTGAATGGAGTTTCATGCCCCTGGCTTTAGTTTGGGACAGTGGTATTTGGGAAGTGAACCAGCTAGTGGTCTCTCTCTCTCTCTCTCGTCCTGCCTTGCAAATAAATAAGACTAAATAAATAAAACTTTTTTAAAAAAATTAGAAAACAGAGGAAGTATTAAACAAAAGAAAATATAAGTAAGAGAACGTAATTAAAAGCTCACAGCGCTGTGACATAGTGGGTAAAGCCGCCACCTGCAGTACTGGAATCGCATGTGGGTGCCGCTTTGAATCTTGGATGCTCCACTTCTGATCCAGCTCTCTGCTATTGCCTGGGAAAACAGTAGAAGATGGGCCAAGTCCTTGGGACCCTGAACCCATGTGGGAGACCTTGAAGAAACTCCTGGCCCAGATCTAGCTGTTGCAACGATTTGGGGAGTGAACCTGCAGGTGGAAGTCCTGTTTCTCTCTCTCTCTCTCTCTATCTCTCTCTCTCTGCCTCTCTATAACTCTGCCTTTCAAATCAACAAATAAATTTTTTTTTAAAAAACAAAAAAGCAAACATATTGGAGATCCAAGATAGTGGAATAGGGAGGGAGCATACTGCCCTAGTCTAAGGGAAGGTAGTTTAAAAAAAGTGAAGAGAGCAGTTTAAGGGAAGAGTTAGGGAGAAAATGGCAGAGGAAACTCCACACAAACTAGAGGGACAGTGTGGACCTACATGGAGGATATGGACGCACACAGCTCAGGACCCGAGCAGCTGAGAGTCTCAGCACCAGCTTCAGAGAGTAAGGTGAGACCGGTCTGCTGCAGACCAAGCCACTGATAATAAAGCTGCAGAAAGAGCCTGGCATGGGCCCAGCTTGGATCCCTATAGGGGACAGTGCACCTGCCAAACTAGAGGAGAAAAAAAGGGGGCACATTTCTCACTCCCTGACCACCCTGCACTGGCAACCTATGCAAGTTGAGAGAGGGTAGGCACCATTTTGGGCATATATAACAGCTGCACTGGCTTCTGTCCACATGTCTAACAACAAGCCGAGTGGAGATGCCTGAATCTGACTGGGAGAATTGATAGGGGGCTGGGTGCTCATGACTGTAGGAGGCTTATGTGCTGGAACTATGAAAACACTGGCTGCATGGGAGGGTGCAGGGCTTTGGGCAGTCACTGTGGGTGGCTCCACATGCTCGGGGCTCCCTGATTTCCTGGTGAGAGTCATTGCTCTGGGATCTGTGCTCACACCAGGACTACATAGATCCTTGTTGTGGGTCTTGGGGCAGCATGGATAAATATTGGACTCACTGCAGTGAGTGCCCAGACACTGGCCTCCTTTGAGGAGAGGAGGTGAGCATGAGACTATGCCAACAAAGCTGAACAAACCTCCTCTCTGATTAAAAAAAAACATTTACTATGCCCAACTTGGGTGTCAGCTTGGACACTCCCTTCACCTTGGAGCACTGAACAGAGCTCCCAGGCCACACCCACCACACACCTCTTGGTATTCATTGAAAAAGTGAAGACTGGGCTTCCGGCCGGGCGGCGTGCGGGGAGCGGGAGTCCGGGCGCCCGGCGCGCGGGAGTGGAGCCTGGTGGCGGCCGCTGCCGTGCGGAGCGGAGCGGAGCTGGCGTCGCAAGGTGCGGCGCTGGCGTCGCAAGGTGCGGCGGGGTCGACCGCGGGCCCCCGGGCTTGCGGGGCTGTGCGCGCCCCGCCCAGGCCGCGGCGGGTCGAGGAACCCTGCGTTTTGCAGGCCCAGGGGCAGCGGTGAACGTGGCCCCGAGCGCCCTGGGCCCCGATGGGAGTTCTTTTGCTTATCTCTGAAACTTGAAGTAGTTAACTCGTTGGCCTGGAGAAAGATCCATCCCAGAAGAGCCTGGTTCGACCGTGGGGCGTAGGAAGTCTGGATGCAAGCTCATCACCTGCATAGATTTCCCACATCTCAGGAGCAAGCATACAGTAGAACTAGAGGAGGTGACAAAAACCAAAAACCGAGGGTCATCTGAAATTGTAACTGGCTCACTGATGATCGTTGGGCAAAGTTAAGAGATCACCATTCAAGCATAAGTTTTCCTAAGACTGCTGCCGAGATGTTTGACATAAAGGCCTGGGCTGAGTATGTTGTAGAGTGGGCTGCAAAGGACCCGTATGGCTTCCTTACAACAGTTATCTTGGCCCTCACCCCGCTGTTCCTAGCAAGCGCGGTCCTCTCCTGGAAGCTGGCCAAGATGATTGAAGCCAGGGAGAAGGAGCAAAAGAAGAAACAAAAACGTCAAGAAAATATCGCAAAAGCTAAGCGGCTGAAAAAGGACTGAAGGTATCAACAGGTTCTGCAACCAGAGGAGAAATCATTGGAAAACGAAGCAGCTTCGGCGGGACCACCGAGGTGTCATTGGATCTGACAGTATTTAATAAATCAAATCTGAACATACAGAATAATGTCTGACCTCAATACTGTATTAACTTTTAAGACTTGGGTGTAGAAGTTTGTTGGTATCTACTGACAGTTACTTTAACTTGGCATCTGTATACAAATGGAGTATCTCTGATCTAAAAATCTGAAACTTTAAAATATGAAATTTTGTGAGCACAGATATGATGCCGCAAGTGGAAAATTCCACACCTGACCTTCTGTGATGGGTCACAGCCAAAACACAGGCACACTACAAATACTGTATAAATTGACCTTCTGGCTAGGAGGAGAGAGTGTGTGTGTGTAATGATCAATTTCATGTTTAGACCTGGATCTTATATCCAAGATATCTTACGTATATGCAGACATTTCCAAAATTCAGGAGATTCTTAAACACTTAACGGTCCCAAGCATTTCAAATAAGGGATACTCAACCTGTAGCACAAATTTTTTTGTAACTGACCTAGTCTTATGCCATTTTATGGCTTAGGTACCGAAATGAAAACATCCTGTGGAGAGAAATGACTAAATTGCGAGCTCTCCTCAAGTGCTAGTTTGTAACGGGGTCCTATTCTGGACCAACATTATTAAGAATGAAAAAAATGTCTTCAGAGCTGAAAAATGTGCTTTGGCTTAAAAAAGATACAGTAATTAATCATATCTTTTGTCATTATTGCTTATTTCTTAGAGTAGGGTCATTTCTGGCTTTCTCAAAGCAAAAGAGTATTTCATTTTCTGCATTTTTCTGATTTTAGCCTTTGAGACAACTGTTAATTAACACATTCTGCATTTTATAAAGAATTCTCAGTATCTTGACTGTAAAATACCACCCACTAGATATAACAGTTTTTGTACTTATGAACACTGCCATTTTCTTAGAGATGAATTGTTGAGAAGAGTAACGCTATGATTTAAAGCTTAAAGTAAAATGCAATCGCCATAGCACCTTGAAACCATTTATGAGGGGTCTTTTGAAAGTTCACAGAAAAATGAAAAATCTATGCATGGATTTAAAAATATTTTTGCACCAAAAATAAACTTATCTTTTAATTCCAATTTTTTCATGGCGGAATAGGGAGCCTTGTATGCTTGTGCTAACTAGAGCTGTGAAATGGTTGAAATGTCTTATCAGATATTTGGCTGATTGTATAGATCCTACTTTTATTCGATTCTTTAACTCAAGTAACAGTGATAAACTGTACCTTTTGATCAAACAGGTTTGAGATGAAAATTAAAATTTCATATTTCTTTTGGAAAACTCTTAAAGAGTTAACAGTTAAGTCATACTTCATAAGTGGCAAAAAAGGCTTGAAATTTGGAAAAATTTTGTTGAGTACAATAGTAACTGCTGTGGAGAGGATAAATTGTCAAAATAAGAATGTGCTATATATAACTAGAAGTACAGAGCTAAAGGATCTTTCAGTTCAGTAGGATATAAGACGTTACCGTGAAACATGGCTTTTATAAATGTCTTGTCTGGTAACTCTGTTCACTGTCAGTATGTAGTAGCTTATTAATGTTTCCTGTACTTCTGATAGTGAATTTAAGTTACAAAAAGTGGTCCACTGTCTCTAATTTAAAAATGAACTCGATATTGAAATAAATATGATTCTTTTTTATAAAAAAAAAAAGAAAAAAAAAAAAGAAAAAGTGAAGACTGAACTAAGCCACAGATGCATAGTCCAAAGATAAAAGCCATCACAGGGGAAAAAAACAAAGCAAAAAAGAAACCAAAAATATCTCTACAAATGCCAAATAATAAATACAGCAATTCAAGAAATAAGAATAAGGAAGACAACATGACACCCCCAAAAGAACACAACACTTCAGTACTAGAATATAAAGATGAAGAGCTTGAAGAAATGCCAGAAATAGAATTCGAAAAATTGATTGTAGGATTACTTAGAAGTGATCAGAGGCAAATCCATGAACTAATGCAATCCACACATGAGAAACTCTCTCTTAAAGAGAAATCAATATGAAATCCTGGAAATGAAGAATTCAACAGAACAAATAAAGAATGAGCTGGAAAGCCTTAACAACAGAATTGGTGAAGCAGAAGAAAGAATATCTGAGTTAGGAGACAAATCTCTGGAAATTTTACAGTCAGACCAAAAAACAACAAGAAGAAATTAGAAAACTAAAAAACACTGTTGAAGATCTACAGGATACTGTCAAATGACCAAACATATGGGTCTTGGAAGTTCCTGAAGGCAGGGAGAGAATGAATTAGCAGCCCTCTTTAGCGAAATAAACACAGAAAACTTCCCTAATTTGGAGAAAGAAAGGGACATCCAAGTCCAGGAAGCACATAGAACTCCTAATAGACATGACCAGAAAACATCTTCACTATGACACATTGTAGTCAAACTCTCAACAGTAAAAAATAAAGGAAAGATTCTAAAATATGCAAGAGAGAAATGCCAGATTACTTTCAGAAGATCTCCAATTAGACTCACAGCAGCCTTCGCATTAGAAACCCTACAGGCTAGGAGAGAACAGTGAGATATATTCCAAGTCTTAAGACAAAAAAACTGTCAACCCAGAATATTGTACCCTGCAAGCTGTCGTTTATGAATGAAGGAGAAATAAAGCCCTTCTGCAACAAACAGAAATTGAAAGAATATGTTACCACTCATCAAGCCTTACAAAAGATGCTTAAGGATGTGCTATACACAGAAACACAGTCACCACTACAAAAGAAGGTGAAGGCAGAAAATCTCCCAGTAAAAGTACAAATGAAATCCAAAGTAAACAATAGCAACATTTATGGGAAAATGGCAGGGCAAAGTTGTTACTTATCATTGTCATTATGAATGTAAATGGCTTCAGCTCTCCAGTTAAAAGACACTGACTGGCTGAATAGATTAAAAAAACAAAACCCATCTATTTTCTGCCTATGAGAAACACATGTCACCAACAAAGATACCAGCAGACTGAAAGTGAAAAGATGGAAAAAGACAGTCCATGCTAGCAGAAACCATAAAAGAGCTGGAATAGTCATCCTAACATCAGACAAAATAGGCTTTAATACAAAAAACATTAAAAGAGACAAAGAAGGCCACTATGTAATGATTAAGGGATCAATTCAATAGGAAGATGTTACTATTATAAATGTAAATGCACCTAATTACAGGGCACCTGGATATTTAAAAGAAATGGTAATACATCTAAAGGGAAACATAGACTCTAATACAATAATAATGGGGGACTTCAATATCCTACTTTCAGCAATAGACAGATCAACAAGAAAGAAAACCAGCAAGGAAACAACAGTTTCATCAACACTATTGACCAAATGGATATCCACAAAACTTCCCATCTTACAGTCGCAGAATATACATTCTTCCATTCTTCTCACCAATGCATGGAATTTCCTCTAGAATTGATCACATGCTAGGCCATAAAGCAAGTCTGAGCAAATTCCAAAAATTCAAAATCATACCATGCATCTTCTCTGACCACAATGGAATGAAGTTGGAAATCAATAATGCAGGAATCTCTAGAACATATGAAAACACAACGAGACTTAACAACATGCTCCTGAATGAATAGTGGATCATTTAAAAGATCAAAAACTTCTGGAAACAAATGAAGACAACAATGTAACATATCAAAACTTATGTGATACAGCAAAAGCACTGTTAAGAAGAAAGTTTAGGCCGGCGCCGTGGCTCAATAGGCTAATCCTCTGCCTGTGGCGCTGGCACCCCAGGTTCTAGTCCTGGTCGGGGCACTGGATTCTGTCCCGGTTGCTCCTCTTCCAGTCCAGCTCTCTGCTGTGGCCAGGGAGTGCAGTGGAGGATGGCCCAAGTGCTTGGGCCCTGTACCCGCATGGGAGACCAGGAGAAAGACCTGGCTCCTGGTTTCGGATTAGCGCAGTGCGCCGGCCGCAGTGTGCCAGCTGCAGCGGCCATTGAGGGGTGAACCAATGGAAAAGGAAGACCTTTCTCTCTGTCTCTGTCTCTCACTGTCCACTCTGCCTGTCAAAAAAAAAAAAAAAAAAAGAAGAAGAAGAAGAAGAAGAAAGTTTATTGCAATTGGTGCCTATATCAAGAAACTGGAAAGGCACCAAATAAATGAACTATCAGTGCATCTCATGGATGTAGAAAAACAACAGCAAATCAAACCCAAAAGTAGTAGGAGAAAATAAATAATTAAATTGGAGAAAATAAACAAAATTGAAACCAAAAAAACCCTAAAGATCAGCAAAATGAAGAGCTGTTTTTTTTTTTGAAAAAAAATAAACAAAATTGACACACCACTGACCCAACTAGCCAAAAAAAAAAAGAAGTGAGAAGACCCAAATCAATAAAAATAGAGTTTAATAAGGAAATTAACAACAGACACTATGGAAATAAAAAGAATCACCATCAATTACTACAAAGAGCTGTATGCCATCAAACCAGAAACCTAGAAGAAATGGACAGATTCTTGGACACATACAACCTCCCTAAATGGAACCATGAAGACACAGAAAACCTAAACAGAATAATAACCAAGAAAGAAATTGAATCAGTAGCAAAGACTCTCTGAATAAAGAAAAGCCCAAGACCGGATAGCTTCACTGCTGAATTCTATCAGACATTAAAAAAAGAACTAAATCCAATTCTTCTCAAACTATTCAAAACAATTGAAAGGGAGGGAAGCCTCACAAATTCTTTCTATGAAGGCAACATCACATTAATTCCTAAACTTGAAAAAGATACAACAGAGAAAGAGAATTACAGACCAGTTTTCTTGATGAACATAGATGTGAAAATCCTCAACAAAATACTAGCCAATAAAATCCAACAACACATCATAAAGATCATTTGATGAAGAGGGTTTATCCCAGGTATGCAGGGATGGTTCAGCATTTACAAATAAATCAATGTGATACATCACATTAACAAATTGAAGGAAAAAAAAACCATATACTTATCTCCATAGATGCAGAGAAAGCATTTGATAAAATACAACACCCTTTCATGAAAAAAACTCTAAGCAATTGGGTATAGAAGGAACATTCCTCAACAAAATCAAGGCAATTTATGACCAACCCATAGCCAGGGTCCGATTGATTGTGGAATTGTTGGAAGCATTCCCACTGAAATCTGGAACTAGACAAGGATGCCCATTCTTACCATTGCTGTTCAATTTAGTCCAGAAGTTCTAGCCAGAGCTAGTTGGCAAGAAAAAGAAATCAAAGGGATACAAATTTGGAATGAGGAAGTCAAACTATCCCTATTTGCAGATGACATGATTCTAGACACAGGGGAGCCAAAAGACTCCACTAAGAGACTATTGGAACTCACGGAAGTAGCAGGATATAAAATCAACACATAAAAATCAACAGCCTTTGTATACAAAGACAATGCCATGGCTGAGAAAGAAATTCTAATATCAATCCCATTCACAATAGCTACAAAAAAATCAAATACCTTGGAATAAATTTAATCAAGGATGTCAAAGATATCTATGGTGAGAATTACAAAACATTAAAGAATGAAATAGAAGAAGATACAAAAAAATGGCAAAATCTTCCATGCTCATGGATTGGAAGAATCAATATCATCAAAATGTCCATACTACTGAAAATTTACAGATTCAATGTGATACCAATCAAAAAAACAAGGATATTCTTCTCAGATCTAGAAAAAATGATGCTGAAGTTCATATGGAAACACAAGGAACCTCGAATAGCTAAAGCAATCTTATACAACAAAAACAAAGCTGGAGGCATCACAATACAGGATTTTAAGACATAATACAGGGAAGTTATCATCAAAACAGCCTGGTAGTTGTACAAAAACAGATGAATAGACCGATTGAACAGAATAGAAATGCCATAAATCAATCCATGCATCTACAGCCAAATTATCTTTGACAGTGAAACTAAAATCAATCCTTGGAGCAAGGACAGTCTCTTCAACAAATGTTGTTGTGAAAACTGTATCTCCACATGCAGAAGTATGAAGTAAACCCCTACCTTACACTTTACACAAAAATCCACTCAAAATGATTTAAAGACCTAAATTTACCACCCAACACCATCAAATTATTAGAGAATATTG